GGGACTTATTAATTATGACTGATCAGGTGGATGACACTTTGTATTAATTGTAGTGTTGTTATTTTTGTTTTATGTTAAATGCCAGAAGTCATATGGAGCTAGGCAATGCAATAACACAAGGAAGCAAGCAAGCAAAAGGATCAAAGTATACTTCACTGATTGCCATTCACCTACTAATTGATCAGTTTGCCCAGGATATTTCATTAAAGTACAGTATCCTGATATGCATTCGTGTGTGTCTGTGTGTTCTAAACCTGAAACTGGGGAAAACACCTCCCATTTTTGTCTCTTACAACCCTTGCATAGGAAGTACTATTTACACTGAAACATCCTTGTTTCTTAGTTTAGGGTGTGTCTGGCAACTTCCTAGATCAGGGGTGGGCAAACTACGGCCCGGGGGCCACATCCGGCCCGTTGGTCTGTCCAATGCGGCCCGCCCCTGAAAAAAAAATCACTGCCATTGGTCTGTCCAATCCGGCCCGCCCCTGAAAAAAAATCGCTGGGTGTGGCGTATTGCCCTGTGCCGCGTGGCCCCCAAAGCTGCAAAACAGTGCGGAGTGCTCTCGGGGTAGGAAAGAAAAGAACTTTGCAAAGGCCTTGGCTGGGAGTTCGAAATCACCTTCGAGTGCGACCTCTCCGAAGGTGAGTCCCCGCCGATCCCCCTTTTTTTTCCGGGGCTTCCAGGCTTAAACTTTGCAAAGGCAAAGCTTGCAGGCTGGAGCGTCTTCCCGCCGAGGAGCGGGAAAGGTTCCACCCGGCGGGCGGGGCGGGCTGCTTGGAGCCACCTAAAGCTAGGCCGCTGCTGATGGAGCCTTGCCCTGCCTTGGTGCCCCGTTTCCCGGCTCGGCGGTCCTGCTCGGGCGGCACTTTAAAAGCCTGCTCCCAGCACCCGAGCAACTTCCCAGCAACTTTCGGCTTCCTTTTAACTCGCGGGCGCTCGCGCCTGGCCCCGAGCCGCGTGGCAGAGGGGAAGCCCGGCGGGCGGGCGGGCTGCTTGGAGGAGGCGACCCGGCGGTGCTCCGGCAGCAGCAACAGGCAGTTTCACCCAGGCTCCGCTCAGGTGTCTGGCTGGGGCTGTGAGGAGTTGCTACCGCCGGCGCAGCTCCGTGCGGCTCCAGTCCCGCGTTGCCTTGGGAAGGAAAAGGCAAAACCAGGAGCCGCTGAGCCTGAGCCTCCAGTGCCGCTGCTCCCGTTGCAAAGCACCGCTGCGGCTCTTCCTTTTTGCCTTTCCCTTCCCGAGGCAACGCGGGACTGGAGCCGCGTGGAGCCGCGCCGGCGGTAGCAACTCCTGACTCAGGGGGCCTCCGAGGGGAGGGGAAGGAGGAAAAGGGGGGGAAGGGGGGGGCGATTCCCAAAAAATCTTGTGCTGACCCGGCCCGTCTGTCAAATTTTAAAAGTCAATGCGGCCCCCGAGCCAAAATGTTTGCCCACCCCTGTCCTAGATCATCTTCTTATTTTAACTCAAACAGCAGGTTGTCCATCTTGCCATTCCATTCAGAGTAAACAACATAATGCAGATTGCAAAAAAAAAGGTAAGAAATAGTAAAACAAGGAAATTTAAGGGGGAAAAATGAAATAGGTAAAACTAGTTTACACTGTATGTCTTTGGACCTTCCTATTCTAATAAATCATGTGTGCCTTCACTTCACCTTCTTTAAATATCTCATTTATCTCTTTCTGAGAATCTCATTATTGGAGGTTTTCAAACATAGACTGGACAACCATTTGACTGGGATATAAGGCTCCTTCCTTGAGCAGGAGGTTGTACTAGAACAGGGGTATCCAACCTTGGCAACTTTAAGTCTGGAGGACTTCAATCCTCAGAATTCTCCAGCCAGCTTTGCCAAGGTTAGAGAGCCCTGTACTCGAAGACCTCGGATATCTCTTCCTGCTTTATGATTCTATCCAACCATAACATTCTTCCTTTTCCTCTTGACTTATTCACTCTTCTTTCATATAATTATTCTGCAATTAGATCCTTATCCATTTTGTGAATGAACACTGCAATAAACTTTCATTTCTGCATTCCAGATACTGTATATCCATTTAGTGTTCATTTATTCTTGAGGCTATCACTTCCTGTTTTACTACAAATAACTTTTTAATTAATCTATTCCTACTGCATCCAATTATTTTAATATTTCTGACATAGCAGTCTCATCTCTACATAACAAATAGGGTGAAAACGTGTTCTTATATACAGCCGTTTTTGTTGCTTTCAGCTTTATTCTCCAGACCACATACAAGCACTAGCTATCTACTCAATTTTCTTGTCTTAAAATTCCTCCATCCATTTCCATATCTTTAATAAATATTCTGCCATAATGCACAAATATTCATCTACTTGCTCTAATGTTTCATCATTTATATAGTATATACAGTAACTTGCAATTACTATTTTGTCTATTCAGATACAGCTTTCTTAATCTTTGATACACAAATCTTCAGGCCTTGTATTTGTTTTGTTTGTATTTGTTTGCTTAGGCAATCTAAAGTTCAGCTGCAAATAATTCAGGTTCTCAACAAATAATATGGTGTCATCTGTGTACATCTACATTCACATCCTTGACCAACACAACACACTTTTAACTTTGCACGCATATTTTTAATGTCAACTCATAAAACGTTTTGTATACACGTTTTATAGTTGTCAACAGAAAGGGGGCGGGGTTTCAAAGAGCAGGCAGCAGTGTGGAATCGAAAGTACATTCTATTCATATTTTCTTCAGAGACTGATTAGATGACTAAAGCTTCTGCGCAAAAATCTAATTGGAAAGCATGATGACTCTTGGCTATGGACATATTTCGTTGGGTGATACACCCAGATGGGTGGGGTGGGGTAGGAAACAGGATCAAGGGTGACAGTGAATTACGTATCTCAGAGTTGGCTATGCCCAGGCTAATGCCAGAATGTTAACTTCTAACAAATCCTTTTTAGTTTTGGGAGTGTGGCTCGAGGCTCATGATTTAATTGGAGTAACTGCCGGAATCCTGACATTTAACTTATTAATCCAACTCTTAAATGCATTAAGATGAGGAGAAATCATTCATTCTCGTTCCCTATTCAGGGTTAAACCTTATGCTATACATTCCATTTGTCCAAACTTTATTTCTATCATATACTATATTCAGCTACCAATTTCAACTTCGTTAATGTGTAAAACATTCAGTGATTCAAAGTTATTCAGTAGATCATACCATTCCCTAAATCCAAAACTTAGGCAATATAACTTTTCCCCTCAAATTTACACATTTTTCAGAGATTATCTGGAGAAGTCTGGTCTGCAGATTTCCTGTCTGGCATAAAATTGAACTGCACTTCTCAGATTTTGCTTACTGCTGCTTCTTTTAGCTTTTTGATTAGAAATCCATTTACACTTTTCGGAAGTGCTAAAGGTATGCAAAATCCCACTTGTTGCTCTTTAAAATTAGCACATGGGATAGGAATACTCAATTATATTTGAAAAATTATTAAGACAATAACAAGTTTTGGGATTTTATGAAGATTATTTCTCTATGTTAGTTTTAATCTAGTACCTTTCAGAGCTATCTAATGAGATTTTGTAAATAAAATATAGCTTGTTGCTGAAGAGAACAAACGATTTTCACCCAGACCTCAGCAACAATTGGAGAAAATAAAAGCTATGATGTGATTACATTTACCTGCTGATAATGATCAGAGCTTATGAAATACAAGACTATTTTTATTATCTGCCAAAATGCTTCCACTAGATGGCAGGTCAGTTCTTCTCTAGATATCTTTAACCATTTATAATGTTCTGTTTTCTCATTGCTATTAAATATATAACTGGTATAACTACCACCCATTATAATTAAAGGTTCAAAACCAAACATTTAAAAAGATGGTATGGAAACAAGCATGCAATTTCAGCTGCCTTTTAAATAACTTGTATAATTGAGAAAGTTAATATGGCAAAACAATATATTGAATATTTTTTCAATATACTGAAAAGAAATTGGAGATTAACTAAAATAACATTAAGAATTAACAGCAAATGAGGTGCAAAGTTTATGTTTTCAAAGGATGAGAGAAAGGAAGCAGTTTTCCTAGTTGCCTTCTCCCCTGAAATTTTATTCAGTCAGATAATCTATGAACATTTATATTGGATTATGAAGACATGTTTACTAGGTACAAATGGAATATAGTTAGCCCTCAATTTACAGCCAGTTGCTTAGCAACTGTTCGAAGTTACAGTGGACCTTCTTTGATACTTGCAACCTGGTTCTGAAGTTCTGATGGCTGACCCCCATCGCCCAGTCACATAAATGCATGCTGGGCACTTGGCAATTGATTTTCAATCATATCAGTTTGCTGCAACCTGGAATCACATGACCATGTTTTATGATACTTTTGCTAAAAACAGCAGTTACTTCTGTTTTTCAGCAAAACCAATCCATAGCAAAGCATTGGTTCTCTTAACGACTGCTGCAAAAAAGGTTGTAAAATTAGGTTAGCCATGTGAGAGTCCTATTTTATGACTGGCATGGCTTATGTGCAAGGTGGGCAGTTCCATTACTGTGGGAACTATCATATATCAGTCACATGACACTGAACATATCTCTCCACATGCCATCCTGTAATTAAAAAAATAAAACCATAAAGATAACATGGCCATAAATAATGGTATGAACCGTAGCACCAAAATCCACAAAGATGCCCATTTAGGACCAGCAAAGAAATGACCACCTCTAGCTAGAAATAGTTCACCTGGAATATGAATATCTTCAGCATTCTAAGTACATTCTGAAGACACTCAGAAAAGGACCAATAATAAATACGTAATTCAAGAACATCTGGAACTACTCTGCTGTTTCCCTTCAACGACATTCTCAAAAAGAAAAAAGGTTATATGCAAATCTGGTTCTGAAAAATAATCTGAGCTTTGATAACAGTAATTTGCATGAAGGTGATTTCCAATTCGGTAATGAGAAGTTGCTGATTCCGTCCTTTGAAGCTATGGTAGAATGAATGAGACTGAACTGAACAAACTAAAAATTATCCCATATGAGGGATTAAGGTGATGTATTCCCTCTTTGTGTTTTGTTTTTATAGTGTTGTTTTTCCTTTGTAGGGATTTCCAACTACTAGAACAATGTGATTTAAAAAAAGTTAAATCTTGTCATAGTTGACTCGCTAAGCAGACCCACTTGCAACCAGATAAGAGTAACGGTAGGGTTAGGGAAGGCATTGGAATATAAGGGGGGTTTGGGAGGGAAATTTGGAATGCAAGTGTGCTGGCTGGAAGCCTGAGACAGACTCAACACCCCAAGGTCACCAGCTGGGGAACATCTGAGGCAGACAGACCATTCCCCAAACAAAGCGAGTGCAAATGATTGGTGGACAATGGACAATGGGAGGTATGGGGAGTGGGAGGGAGGGAAAGTTGTCCTATGCTATTTATACACGAAATAGTTAGGACTGGCTTTACTACTTCTGTACCCATATGGAATCTTCAGTAAAGTTATACTCTTGGTAAAAAAATGTCCCAGGAGTTTCTTTTGCTGTCTAACCCAGTGGGACAGTTGACACTCCTTCAAGTTGAGATTGATTCCTTGTAATTTCCTGGACCTGTCCATGAAGTTATTTTGCCACAGTAAGGAAGTATTTCCTATTGTCTTATTCTGGGATTTTTTCTTTCTTTCAATTTTCCAATTCAGGCCTCATATTTCCTGGTGGCTTCCCATCAAAGTAGTAGCCAAACCTTAACCCACTTATCTCCTGAACTCAGAAAAATTGGTCAGGTGTTGCAACCTTTTTCCAAATCTAAATCACTCTCCAGAAAAGTGATTGTATAAATATCAAAGGCAACTCCTGAATATTGCTCATTATGGAAATGGTGACCATTATGTAGACTTTTTAAATCTCCATACCTCAGGTGCTACAAAATTGGCTGTGTAACATGGTGTCATTAGTAGACCATTCTCAGCTCTCAGTTGTTTGGCAAATCCAAAATCACACATTCTGATAGACTCTGGGTTCCCCGATTCGTCCACGTACAAAATATTACTAGGCTTTAGATCTCGATGAACAACCTGAAAATAAAGTTGAAACAACTGCACGTTATCTAAACCCAAATGACTATAATAGTAAATGATTTGTCCACAACTGCAATTCTTTGAAAATTATTAGTTAATTCCAGAAATGATTTCTGGACATTTAATTCCATGCCTTGATAAATATTGACATTACCACACAGCAACAGGGGATACATCTTAGTAATAAACCAGAGGAACTAAATGAATTTTATATTTATATCTATCCACCTGAAATATTAATCATTTCTAGTAAATTACATGCAGCAAATCTGATTGGGAGCAGTTGATAATTGAGAAGCTGTAACTTGCCAGTAATTTGGCTCATACTGCAACTAGAAAGATAATAACAATTAAATCTTCTGTTTGAAGGATGCGCTGCAGGCATTTGATCTTTATTATAAGAGATCATATTTCTATCCTATGCCATTCTATTCTATCTTACAGTCTTCCATTTTTCACTAGTCAGTGAATCACACTCCACCACGTTCATTTTCTTTGTGGATTTTATGTCTGTGGAGAAGATGATAATACCTTCCCCTATTCAATATTTTAATGACATGGAGTAATATTTTTGGAAAGATGCTTGGATATAGAAAAACTGGTATACTTACACCCTGGGAATGCAGATAGTCCACAGTTTTGCTAATGGTACAGAGAACAGCGCTAGCTTCTCGCTCTGAGAAGCATTTCTGTAGAAGGATTCGATCTAAGAGTTCTCCTCCTCGCATCAGTTCCATCACAAGGTATACAAATTTTCCATCATCATAGACCTACATACGTGTACAGAAAACTTATCAAGTACTTGTAAATCTTAACTTCATACAGGTAGTCCTTGACTTACAACCATTCATTTAGTTCAAAGTTACAACGGTACTGAAAAAAGTGACTTATGACCATTTTCCACACTGTTCTTTTTCACACTGTTTACCACTGCAACATTCCCATGGTCATATGATCAAAATTTGTATGCTTGGCAACTGGCATGTATTTATGATGGTTGCAGCATCCTGGGATCATGTAATCACTTTTTGCAACCTTCTATCAAGCGAAGTCAATGGGGAAGCCAGATCCACTTAACAACTGTGTTACTAACTTAACAATTGCAGTGATTTATTTAACAGCTGTGGCAAGAAAGGTAATAAAAAGAGGCAAAATTCACTTAACAGTGCTTGCTTATCAACAGAAATTTTGGGCTCAATTGTGATTGTAAGTTGAGGACCACCTGTGTTATTTTTTTGGGCAAATACAAAGTTTTACAAAGAAACAAACAAACCCACTTGTTCCTTTCCTGATTCCTGAATCCCAGGAATCAAACAGGCATTGCTTGATGGAAAAACATCTGTCCATAGTTCTTAATGCAGGTGGTTACATTAAGTTACCTACATTTTAATTAATATTAATGTTTTATTGACCAGCATTTTTTCACAACATTTGCTTATCATTCTAGAAGTAAAATGGAACGATGTAAGATATAGAAAGAAATATTCCAAATTCCAAAACAAATATTATTTTTGTGAATGGTTTGCTGTATTCTTGAGCTTAAATGTGACCAGGAATAGGCAACTTGGTATTTTTCAGATGCTTGAACGACTCTGTCAGTTCTTATCGTTGATCATACCATTTCGGGATAATGGAAATTGAAGCCCCAATCACTGGATGGCACTAATATGTCTGCCCTGGTTTAATTCAAATATTTCCTGACTGCATATTTCTGATTGTGAATTATTAGTTGAAGTAGATGTGCATCCCAACCCAGCTGCCTGGTCCTGGTTCTTAAATAAACAGGTATCAAATCATTACTTCCTTTCTCTTTTAGTAATAAACTGACTATGGGTCACACAGTTTATGGATTGTAATTTTAGTATAGTTAGTCCATGTATAGTTGACAGATTGAATTTTATCATATATTTTATCTGTTATTTATTATTTTATTCTAGAATTTTTAACTGAGTATTTGTTCTGGTCTCTGGTCTATGACTGTAATAAATTGAATTGAAATCATTACTTTTTGCTGTTGACATATGAATATAGGGAGGTCATGAAAAATTACATATTGCAGGGCAGCCTTGAAGATGTGATGCTCCCTATAGAAAATGTGAACTTGATGTCATCAACAAGGTGGTTTATTTACCTCAGGGTCCCCAAACTTGGCAACTTTAAGACTTGTGGACTTCAAGTTCCAGAATTCTGGGAGTTGAAGTCCACAAGTCTTAAAGTTGCTAAGTTTGGAGACCTCTGAATATATATCTGCTCATTTTATTGTATGAGAGTTGAATGAAAAGTTATGTCTCCTCTTCCATAACTTTGAAGTAGGGATAATTTAATAAATGAAACAAGTAAATAATCCTTGAAATGAGCTGTTCTGTTACCTGCATTTTCTTCTCCGCATAATTACCACTGTTTGCTACACACCTCTGCTGATGATGCACAAGCTTCTTGAAGCTGTCATGAAAGAACTCCATATTTTATCCCTTCAACCAAGTCCTGAAGGTCCTTTCCACATTTTCATTTGATTACAACAATGTCCCTGTAGATATTGCTTCAGTTAGGGGGAAATGTGGAAGTCTGATGATGCCATGTCCAGATTACATAGTGGATAGGGTAATACAGTGAAATCTAATTTCACAGTTGCCCCTCAGGTGGCTCATGACATGAGGTACAGTATTGTCATATTGCAATAAAATCTCTTTCTTGTCATTCTAAACTCTGTTTCATTGCTGTTTCAAAGTTTTGAATGTTGTGGTGTATTGCACTGATTTGATACTGGTATCAGGTTCAAGGACATTCTTCTGAACAACACCATCTGTATATCCCAAAACCATAACACAAGTTTTTCTGTCAGAGCCTGGGGTTTAATTTCCCACTCCCCGGTGAAGCTACGGGATGATATTTCATTGACTGATGTTTCATTTCTTGGTAATGATGAACACATGTTTCATTGGCCACTTCTATTTCACAGCATGACAACTGGTGGTAAAGTTTAAGATTTGAAGCTTTCATCTCTGCAGTCAGCATATGAAGAAACCATTTTGTACAAATCTTCTATACTGAAGATCATTAATGTGACTCACACATTCCTTAGACATGTCAAGCTTGACCTCAACTTCTCTTTGGGTGACCCAAATGCCCTTAATCAGTTCATCAACTTTTCTCAGATTCAACTCATTGGTTGGTATCTCAGGTCATAACTCTTCTGGTCCAATATTTTTACCCTTTTTTGACCTATCACAATCATCACCATAAACAACCTGTATTCGAAGGTCAATTTTAGCTGAAGGGACTCCTTGGCAGTCAGAAATTTCAATCACAGTGTGTTGCTTAAAGCACACTGATAAGTACTCACTACAGACTTCCATTTGAGAAATAATAGCAACACAACCTGTTCTCACAATAATTTCCAAATGAATCAATAGATGTTAAAGATGAATATCAGGGCTTTCAGTAGCAGAACTTTGGCCATCTGTTGTAGGCAACTTATAACACTGAAAACATTACTTTTTTATTCAACGCTCATACTTCCAAAAATAATTAGAAAGAGGAGAGACTTATTATACCATTTTATTTGCATTACTTGGGTGAAAAATATCTTTTTAAAAAAAGCATGAAGCTCCCTAAAAGAATAGCAATTTCTATTTTTTTTGCAACATTTGCTTATAGATTGTTATTAGAGTGATCCTTAACATTTTGTAAAATGGAAAACCTTTATGTAAGGGCATTATACATAAACAAAGTTACTACCTACATAAGAAAATTTATCAACAAGGTCTTTGTAGTTACTTCTTTACATTCTGATCCAACTTCAGCATTCAGCATAATTGGAATTAAACAAATACAAAGGTTATTGCAAATTTATTAATACATTTTCTAAACCCAATAATATAGCACATATTTTCCAAAATATTGTTGGAATGGACATCATATAGGTTTCCCTAAACAACTTTTCTTATAGATCAGCTTACTCCCAAGGAGATATGTAGAAGAAATGTGTGACCTGAACAACTACTCACATCTTTGAGTGTAATGATGTTTGGGTGCTGTCCATATCTCAGAAGAATCTCAATTTCTTCTGAAGGGTCTCTTTTGCTCTTATCAATTATCTAAGGGAGAAATGGAGAACAGAGAAAATTAAAAAGAGAGGAAGCCTCATCTGTGCATTTGAAAGAAAAGCTATGCATAGATATGCTATGTTAAAATTAAACAGCAATCTATATTAATGAACAGCTTATGGGAAACTGTTAACAATAGCAACCAGAGACAGAAAAAGAAACAATTTCCGGATTCTGACAATGGAGAGAAGCCAGGGGACTCATAACAACAAAAGGGCAGTTTTGTATTGTCAGTGGTGAAGCTAGAAGTAGACACACCTGCATTCCAGAGCCACTAACAGTTCTCAGCGCAGCCTCAATGTGTCCTTCCAAATTGTAATTTACAATGTGACAAAAAAGGGAGAAGTATCAAATGCAAGACTCTATTAATTCTATTTTATTGATTAAATTCGAATGTAAATTAGAACGTAAAGACCACTACTTTTGTCCTAAAATCCAATCGAAGTCTCATCAGATAACTTTTAAGAGAAGGAATGTAGAGCACACCCACATATCTAGCCTGGTGAGATAGGCAGATATCCTCAGGGAGAGGCAGGATTGAAAACAACCCAAGGGCTTTAAAAATAATACATAACAGTAGTGTGATATAGGCAAATTCCAGTTGCCTAGAAATGTATGCATTACTGGACTAGTTGCAACTTCTGAATGGCCTTCAAGGACAGCTCCATGTAGGGTGGATTGTAGTAATCCAATCAGGAAGTGACCAGGATATGAATGACAGACAATGGACACAATCGGTGCACAGGATATATTTGTGCAAAGGCTCCCTAGTCATGGCTACCATCTTCTCTTTGAGCCAGTCCCACAAGTCCAGGAGAACCTCCAAATTACATTCTAACTATGTCCAGGGAAATGCTTCTTTACTATAGTTTGTATGTGTTTCTTGCCTCACTAGAGTATGCAGTATTTGTATCAGAAAAGGAAATCATTGGGGCTCAAACTGTTGTCCTCTGCTTTAGAATTGTTTGTCAATAGAATTTCACTAATTCTGTATTTTCATACCCTCCTCCCTATTTTACTTTTCTGTTAAGCCAGCAAGCTTGATTATATGGCTGTAGCTGAAGAAAGTAGCTGAATTATGTAGGGAGAACATAATGTGAGTTATGGACATGGAGGTGTGGGTCAAAATCGGCAAGATGGTGGGTGCAATTAAAGAATTCTGTTGTCACTATGCATTATAAAAGGGACATGGGTTTCAATTATAATGTTATACCAGCCATCTTAAAGAGTTGAGATGTGGATGACCTATCATTTAGGGTCTAACTCAGTGTTGGCAGATGCATCTTTGAAATAGTAACAGCAGATCCTGTTCACTGTAACACAATTTGCTTCTGTAGCAAAATGCATTTAATGACAGGACAAAATAATCTAAAATTTCTATGAATTATTCCATCTTTAATTAATTCATCTTCAAGGTTTTTTTCAATATCAAGGAAAAATAGTTGGAACATTTTGCTAATGGGAACTGTACAATTTTGTTGTTTTTTCCATCTGATCAAAATGTCACATAATTCACTCTGAGGAATCAGGAGAACTATGCATGCTTTAGACCTTATAAACGCAATTCAATAAACCAGACTGAGTTTTTAGGGCTCTGTTCAAGGCTGAAAAACTTTGCAGCTGCTTAAGAATTGCCTTACTTTTTGGGGAAACTTCTCAAAACAGCAACATGAGTTTTCATTCATGTAGAAGATGGGATGCTTTAATAATTAGCAGAGATGCTTTGCTTGCGCTTGCATGAGACTGAAGCATTTCTTTCACATTATTTTTGAAGTGTGTCCAAACAATGATTAGCATTATTTTAGAGGAATTTATAATTACTATTTCAAGATGTTTTGAAGGAGAGAGATTACTGACTGTAGTTGTTTCTATGATTTTGAATTATCTTGAATTTTATGGTTGATTAACTTTGGTGATTCATTCACCAGACAGTAGCATCATCCATAAAATTATACTTATTATTTTAGAGAAAAAGAAGAAATAAACTAGTAATATTTTAAGCAGCATGGCTTACTGTATAAAGGATATGCCCGATTCATTCTACCATTAATGATAAGCATTCAGATATTTAACATTCAAGTGAATTGTTGTTAGCATTCAAAGTACTGCATGTGTATCCTAATGCATACAATTAAACATTTTTCATTGGGCCAAACAAAACTATGATGGTTTTGCAAGCCCTTTAATGTGGTAATACTATATGTTATCTTTTTTGTTCCAGAATCTTTTAAAATATCACCCAAAGGAGTGCAGAATTTCCACAAAGTCTTACAGGCGGAAAGAGTTTGGCAGGCACAAGACTAATATTTTTATTTTTATTTTAATATGTATTTATTTACATTTGTAGGGCTGTCCATCTCACCTAAGTGACTGGGCGATTTACAATAGTTTAAAAACACATACTCCAATGAATGAGTTAGAAACGAATAAAAGATCTATGCATAAGTGCACATTGGGAGAAAACAAGAAGATGCATTCGAAGTGTTCATTTATTTAAAAAATGTAGACAAAAATCTATAGAACAGATCATGGATATTTTTTTAAAAATTGTTCATTCTTATCCATGTGCTCACAATATAAACATACAGAACAAACAACATTTATAACTTGGAGTCATTTCCCCTTGTCTATTAAACATACAGTGTTTCTCTGTATAAGAGAGACAATCGTATTGTGACTCTTCATTGGTAGCAACAGACACATTCCTGCATATGTTCAAGGACATTCTCTTTATTATTTATTCAAATGTTTCAGGAGCAGGCTTAGGAAATACAAATGTTGTGATTCTGTATGAAACCTGCCAGTTCAAACTGGTTGTTTTATCCCATGACAAAATAATAAATTTAAATAATGGTAGTGTGTTAGTCTTAAGGCACAAGTATGTTTGCTAGGACAGATGATCACAGCTGTGGATGTACCGTATGGGGAGAAAGGTGAAATCAGAAAGGGTGATAATTTATTCTGAGGGTCCTTTCATATATTAAAGCCTCTCTCTCCCTGCCCCTTCTCCCAGTTCCTAGAATTATTGTAGTTACATGAATGATGGAAAACATCAGCCAGGATTTAATATGTTATCTGCATTTGTTGTATTCCATCTGTTATACTATTCAAAGAAGTATAGTACTAACATGTACTAGCAAAAGAAATCAACTGCCAATTGTAACATGAGAATTTGTCCTCCTGTTTGTCCATATGACTATGTCTATAGTAAGCCTTCTCCAATCTGTTGTACGATCCCTCCAGCATTTACACACAATTATACAGACATTTCATCTCATTTATATCCATTCATTCTCTCTTTCACAAGTGACTTTGCCCCCATCTACAACAGCACATATGCTTCAAAAAAATAATAATCCTAATTCCCATGAGTGGATTTCAGGTGGCACAGAATACTTGGGGGGGGGGGATTTTAATCTTTTATATCCCAATGGTTAGCCCACCTACCACATTATTCTATAAGTAAAATCAGGTTTGAAAAGAAATCCCGAAATACTATAATGGGAAACATTTTGATCAAAGGTATATTGTGGCAGGATTCAGAAAAGTCAAAGAGAACCAATTGGTAAGGTCTTGCAGGCTGAAACTAACTGTTCTTGTGTCCTTCGTAATCAATAACTCTTCCAAGGAAAGGCAACTTCTCCAAGTCCATTCCTATTTTATTGTGTTAATTACTTGCAGACAATATTTTTTGCAAGCATATAAATGGGGAGTTTCTCATAGGCATTTTTATCACTCTTTCAACACTCCCCAAACTCTCAGAAACAGTCTTGCAACAGTTTTTATTATTATTATTATTATTATTATTATTATTATTATTATTATTATTATTATTATTATTATTATTATTATTATTATTATTATAAATAAATTTTATTGATTTTACAATTAAAACAAACCAACAACACTAAATGAAAGAGAGAAAAAGAAGGGAGAAGAAAATAGAAAGAAAAAAATAGAAAACAATTAAAAACATTCTCATCTTCAACAGTTTGTAAGACTTCTTTTTTATCCTTATTTTATGCCATATACACACACCTAATCCTTACATATATCTGTGTATCACTACTATGGATTTATCCTATTCTCTTTTGCCTTTTAGTGTGAAGTCTATCTTTGGTCTACCCATTTGTACCAGCAGTTCCAGGTGTTGTAGTATATTGAAGTGTCTTTATTTTTTAATGCCAAAGTTAATTTGTCCATTTCTGCACAACTTGAAATTTTCTGAATGATCATCTTCTCTGATGGAACATGAGGTTTCTTCCAACATTGTGCAAAAGCCAATCTGGCCGCTGTCAAAATGTGTATTATTATATATTTCACTTTTTTTGATATTTGTTTATCAAAGATCCCTAACAGAAAGGACTCTGGTTTGAATTCGATCTGTTCTCTTGTCATTTCTTTCAGCCAATTTCTAATTTTCTGCAAATATTTTTGAGCTTCTGTACAGGACCACCACATATGGAAAAAAGTTCCCTCTTTTTTTTTTTGCATTTCCAGCAATTTGGACTCATATTGGGGTGCATCTTCGCTAATCTCGAAGGAGGAAGGTGCCATTTATAAAACATTTTATAGGCATTTTCTTTGTATGCTACCGATTTTGTAATTTTATTATTTCTACCCCAGACCTTTTCCCATTCTGTTATGGTGATGCTAAGTTCATTATTATTTTTAACTTCAGAATGAAACCACCATGCTAAACCAATATCCCTAGCTAACAAATAAGGAAAATTCATGTCTGGCGAACAGCCAGTGCTCTAACCTCCTCCTTGTTCTTACCCTATGACTTTTAATAATGAAAAAAATAAAACAAAAATGCAGATCACTGTCTGCAAAGCTCTGTGCAAAGACACTGGTATGCAACAGTGGCTGAAGACGCAAAGGAACCAGGGTGTCAGAAGTTACCACCTATGGAAAATCAGTCAGGCCACAGGCTGCATGGAACTCTAATACCAAAGATAAGGAAACAAAACATACGTGATTTGAACTGGACTGCAGTAGAGCTAGAAGAAAACTGATGTAGCTGATATAGAGGGCATTTAACTGATCTGAAAACAACTCAACAATCCCAAGTAGAAGCACCCTTGGTCATGTAACACAAAAACATGGGGACAACAAAACAGCAGAGACAAATCTTTTATTTCTTCTCAGCCTTATAAATTTTACATTCCTTAATTTTAATATTGACTATTTCTTTACCTTTCTGCAATTATGCAATGTAAGATTATGCAATGTAATATTTTGTATTTCGCTTTTTTTAAAAAAAATCAAAACAGCAAAAATAAAGGACTCTCAGAACATCCATTGCTTCTATTGTAAACATCGGTCTGGCTGGCTTCTTTTAGTGAGCCAACAGAAGTAAACAAATATTTAGGAAAGGAACATAAAACTATCAGAACAGTTCTCAGCATATCTCTCTAATGCTTTCAACAGAGCTTTAAAGCGCAGTGTTGGACAGCCAACTATGCTTTTAGATCTTCAAATCTAAATATTTCATGAGCCTTTAAATTAGATTTTATTTTTTTATCAATTGTATATGGCTGCCCATTGCACAAGAAACCACTGCACAATACAAATAAATTTGTATTGATGTTCTTCACGAATCAACATAAATATCATTACTGTATAATCTAGTTAAAATCAAAACTGAATTGGATCAAAGAATAAAGCCAAAGTTGGATTATGTTCATTTGTTACTTGTTAAAATACCCTGAAAATATGTGTCATTTAAAATGATCTGATCTCCCCTAGAATTTTTCACACTTGCATAACTATCTGGGGGTAAATGAAATGGCAACAATTTTGCCATTGGAAAAGAAAAGCTTTAAAAATCCAAGATAAATTTGATGGACTTCCTGTGGTTGGATCCAAAAGCCATATGGCTATGACCATGGCTTTTTTCTCTTCTGATACTGGACTTTATGTCAAAGTTAACATGAAATGCATGGGATTTTCAAAAACATGACATAATATGACAAATTAATTTTGATTGCTAGAGATTAATAGAAAAAAGAAGCATATACTGAGCATATTGAAGCCATGCAAATAATCTGAAAAATATCTCTGAAATATATAGTGGCAGATAGGACAGCACTCCATAGAGTTAACAGAAGATCATTGGTTGTCCTCTCCCCTCTTTGGAAGAGCTTTATAGCTCCTGCTGCCTTAAGAAAGTTCAAAACATTCTCAAAGATCCATCTCATCCTGGGCACCCTTTTTTTTGGAACTATTACCATCTGGCAAACAATACAGGTTAATCAAAACAAGGACAAATAGGCTGAAAAACAGCTTCTACCCCAGGGCAGTAACTCTATTGAATTCTACTGTATAGTGCAATATTAATGCAGTATCAGGGGTTTTCAATTCAATGCATAGAATGTGAAGGGTATGTGTTTGTGTTTATTTTCATAGTCATAATGTACACTGAAGATGGTATTTAATTTCATTGTACGAGGTGCAATGACAATAAAGCACCCTAAACTAAACTAAACTAAACTAAACTCATGGGCTGACTTACATTTTACATTCCACATTCTCCTTCATAGTGTTTGGTTCCCTAACCTCTTGCCCTGCTGCATCAAGGCAGCATAACTTGCACTAGTTGACCTTGCCAGATGATCACCAGACATACCACAGTGATTTCTTACCTTTACTGCAAACTCTGCTTCTGTGGCTTTGTGAATACATCTCTTGCAAACAGAATATGAGCCAATGCCAATGTCTTCCCGGATTTCATATCCATCTGTAAAGTGAATATTGTTCCCATGTAACTGCTACAGAGGGAAACAAAACAATAGCAATAAAAGAACAAGTCTTACGGCTGACTCCATCAGGAGATTCTCTAGCAATTCAGAGACATTAGTTTATTACACAGAACCAGCTAATTAAATAAGTGCTGCCTTAATTCTGACCAATTAATCTTACAATCCTTAGCATGCTTGGATTTCTTTTAGGTCATCTTGAGGCAGTAAAGCTACAGCAATATTGATATAAAAATACAGCACAGTTAATCCAAAAATAAACATCCCATTCAAGTTAAACCTCCTTTAATGTGAGTTCAACTGCTGATGATTTAATAAAAATATCTCTGTAGTCTTCTTGGCAACAAAATGAAACTTATTTGCCATGGGTTATGGAATAGTTTTTAAAATTTCCACGCTAGCTAATGACACTTTCCTGATCTCTAAGGATAGAAGCTGCCATCTGGCTGGGCTTCTGTGGAAACAGCAAATTTTAAGGAAGGGAGTTAAATTTAAAAAAAGTAATTTCCCCTCCTCACGGCATTTATTATTTAGTATTGATTCACTGACCAGCAGTGGCTGTTCATTAAACATTTAGGTTATATTCCCTGGGGGATTTTTCAGTTTCTTGGAAATATAATGGTTGATAATGATGGTGATGACAATCATGAAGTTCATGATTTATATCTGGTCTTTCTATCAACATGGCATTCAGAGAAACTCATCTGGGAACTCCTGCATGCAAAGGGTATTCTCTATCACTGAAAATAAACCACCTTCTCATATTAGCTTTCATTGCTAATATGAGTTTTTGGTTGTTGATCTTTGTTGTATTTCGCAAACTAGGACTGGAGAGGAAGGACACAATAAGTTGTTGCTGATACCAGCTGGGGAAAACAAACTGTGATACTTTGTAAAAAAAAAAAGGTTGATAATGGGAACTAAATCTTTCCATGAAATAAATGAAACTGTTTACATCATGGGTGTCAAAAGTCGCACAGTCACGTTGCCACCATGTGATGTTTCATGATGTTTTTTCCCTTTGCAGAACTGGGGCGGGTGTGGTTTGTACACATCCGGCCCAGTGGGCCACCAGTTTGACACTGCTGGTTTACATAAAGGTATTAGTCATATCATTGATATACTTGTGGGTAATTTAATGTCCAGACAATTTCCCTTCAGTGGATGTAGCTCATATTCAGGTCTCATTTAGGGGATCACTTTCTAGTACTAAAATATGGAAATTCTCTTTTCCACATTACAAAATATTTCACGCTGGAAGCATGAGAAATTATCACGTGAATATATTATTCTTAATAATTCAAATAGCACTAATATTACTAACATTTTATATTTTAGGTGTCATCATTTCTTATGCTCCTAGAATATAATTGTAATGGATTAAGGGAATTCTATATTTTGAGTGGATTACTGGGTAACTCAAGATTTCAAATATTCTCAAAACACAGTCACAGTTTTTTCTAGTATGAAGCATTGGAGGGGATTCAGATGGAAATGAAATTAGCACTTAGTTTGAACTCATTTAGTCTTTTGTCAGAGGTCTTAAGGAAAGCAGCCTTTTAAAATAAATCTAAAGCTACTTGGTCCAATACCTAGAAAACTCTGGAAGACTGGGGTATCTAAAGTTACATGTTTGAGAGGTTTGTGAGGATATTCTTTTAAGTAGCAATTTATTTTGTCTGAGATAATTTCATGTCTGGTTCTGTTCTCTGCCTCCCTATTTCTTTATTTTCTCAGTTTATTTACCCATTAGTGTTATCTTTGATTTGAAACTAAATGGCAACGAAACTGTTGTCTCAAATCCTGACTTTGCTGCTGTTATGGAGAACCGCCCCTCCCCCCCAATTTTCTTGTTTATTCTAATTTAATTTATAATCAGCCACTTCATCCTCCAAAACTGCTTAGGTTTAATAAGCCCAATTAAAAGATAAAACTGCAACTATTTATTTTAAAGTCTTGTCCTAGAAAGGGCATCTCCTGCTCTACACATCCAGATTTCAGAAGATAAACACCCGCATCTGGACAACTCACAACTCAGGCAGAGAAGATCCTAGAGGGAGAATTCTACGAAGTTTGTGGGGAGAGGGATCATGATACTCTTTCCTCATCTTTCTTCCTGCTATCATCTTAAATTATAACAACTTGTATTATAAGACATTAGGTAACAAACAGAAGATTATTGTAATTATTATCCTACTTTTTAATATAGGAAGCTGTCAAAGAAGATAGCATAGTTAAAAACAGATACTGAAAAATACTTTCAACCAATTCATATGACTGAAAGCCTTGAATTCTTTCCTAGAAATAGAAAGAGGAACTGTATTTGACTTAATGCTTGGAGAAAAAAATACAAGTAGTGGCAATGTGTATTTTGCTACTGCAGGAGAAAGCAGTGATTTTTACTACAAAACCCACCGTATGTTGCCAATAGTCCTTCCTGTACTATCTAAAATAGATGGAGGATACTGAATGTCGCATAAAGCAAAAGGAATGGCGGGACAAGCACAAATTATATTTAGGGTAATAAAGCCGTGAAGAACTATGAAAAAGCTTGTTTGTGTGATCCTGCTTATGTACATAGGACTGAATTTAAAGGACTGAATCTGGCATTTTTTGTAAATGTGGTTTCCACGTTATAGAAATTTTGAACTATTACAATTAGAATAAAACATCAATTCAACAGATTCTATTTAACAGACTTCAGATGCAATGAATATTTCTATAGAGACATTACCTGAAATAGAGGACATTCAGATAATAAAAACATTTGCTCATAAATAAATAGCCAAACTAAGAAATTCATTTCCATAAAATGTGATGATATCAACAAAAGATGATTATTACTTATTAAATTTATATCACATCTTTCCTCCAGGAACTCAAAGTGAAATACATAATCTTCCAATGTTAGTCCACAACAAGCCTATAAGGTAGAGAATGAATTAAGAAAAAATGACTAGCTCAAAGTCATACCCCAGTGTATTTCCTTAGAACACTTGAATCTGGGTTAGACAGGAAATTTCTCTAATCCTAGCTGTTTTTCTTAATGTTCTTTATGCTACTGTAATACATCTAGATCCATGATAGTGAACCTATAGCACGTGTGCTGAAAGTGGCATGCAGAGCCATCTCTCCGGGCATGCCAGCCATCGCCTGTTGCACTTTTGGGTTCTGGCGCATGCATGCGCGCTGGCCAGCTGGTCTTCGCATGTGCAGGAGCACCAGAAACTGGAAGACCAGGCGGCCAGCATGCGCACCGGGGAGATGCTCTTCTAGTTTCTGGTGCTCCTGCGTGCGCGCGCACACACTCCTATGCCGAAAAGGTTTGCCCACACTGATTTAGATGAAGTGAAAGAGGTATAACAACTATACAGCCAAGTTCATACCTGGACAATTGGATGAACTGTGACTTTATGTGGTTCTTGCTGTACAGGCTCCTGCCCCAAATTGGATGCCACAAAGCTGAATCCTCTGAAGAGATGATGAGCATTGGCACTTGGAGGGACACCTGGAGAATCTGCAGAGGAGATGAGAGATGAGTCAAGGAACAGGGCACCTGGAGATTCCAACCATTTCTCCAGTATTATTTTCCCTAGTAATGTTATAAAGAAGCAATTTGCACGCTAGAACCGAGCCATGCTATTTTCAACATGGAGACTTTTCCATTTGAAAGATCTTCCCAATCTTTGCTTCAAGATAAAGCTGCATCAGAATTTCCAGAGTGACAGCTCTGAATGTACTGAGATAGTGAGACCAGCTGTTAAAAAAGAGAATTAAGAGGAACCAAGTGACTCTCTGCCAAGAAGAGCCTTTAAAGCAGGTGTGTGCAAACTTGGCAACTTTAAGGTTCAACTTCATGCTGGCTGGGGAATTCTAGGAGTTTGAGTCCACAAATCTTAAAGCTACAAAAATTGGACATCTCTCCTTTAAACTACTAAAAAATTAGTTAATTATTAATTAATTATTCAATTAATAATAAGCTACCGTGTTTCTCATATAATAAGGCCGGGTCTTACTTTTTTTTGAGCCCCGAAAAAATGGCTAGGCCGTCTTTTCGGGGATGACTTAACTCCTCCCCCCCCTTGCATCTTCAGGCGGGCGGGCGGCGACAGCTTGGATGTTGACTTCGGTGTTGGTGGGGCACTTCGTATCGGGGTCAATGCAGGCAGCACCATATCCGGGTGTGAAACAAAAGTACTTCCTAATGGCAAGCTCCCCCCCCATTCCCCCCATTTCGCATGTTTTAATATAGGCCTTAATTTTGGGGGAGGGGCTTAATTTCATTTCATGCCTATAAAACATGCTGGGACTTCCTATTGGGGGAGGCCATATTGTTGGAGAAACAGGGTACTTAGTATTAGTAGTAATACACTTCTAAAAACAGACTACCCATAATTTTCTTTTTTTTTTAGCAGCAAGCTGCACAGCTGCTTGTACAACTCTTTGCATGCAAAGCCCATCTGAGGATTTGTGGCAGTGCATAATTTAAATGTAAGAGCATTTTCAGTAGGTTATATGAGAAATAATTAATGGGAAGCAATTGTATAGTAATACATAACCCTAGAGAGTCTGGAGTGTCCTTCCAGAAGGACCACTCCAATTGCTACCCAGAAAAACTAGGAAAAAATTGTGGAAAATACTACACAGTAGTAATTCTTATTCTCTAATTCAGCCACACCATAAAATTCCAACAGTGAGTCTATGTGAGTACAAGGTGACAGATTCTTCTGGAAGCGACAGCAAATTTGGAAATGTAATGGTATTTGGTATAATGGTATCATCACATCATAACAATCACTTCCTGGGTCCCGTCTGCCAAGGAATATGAAGCTGACTGCCTTTCATATTGTAGCATCTGTCATCAGGAATATCATCCCCCTGGAGATGGAATTGGCTTTGTGCCTTTTGGCCTTCCGGAAAACCCTGGAGACAGGGTTCTATGCCTGAGTTTGTGGCTTTGATGCATGAGGGAGATTGTATCCTGATTATATTGATTACTATTTGTGCTTCATAATTCTTGACTGCTGTGGGTCTTATGTTTTTAATTAATATTTTTATTATTTGAAAGTGGTAAGCCATCCAGAGGTAACATTAATCCACCCATTTGAGATGAGTGGTTATACAAGTTGAAGGAAGGGAGGGAGGGAGGAATGCTAAGTAATTCTTAAACTCTAAATATAATTTGAATAGTTTTGCTTGAAAGTTTTAAAAAATAAATGTAAAAATAATGGCAAATCTACTGATATGTTTTCTTAGTAAGTACCTGTTGGGGTCCGTGATGTGAATTCAGGATCAAAATGGAAAGTGTCCTCTGGCCGACCCACTGCAGGTTTAAAGGGTGGTTTGATTTCTCTTCTGTACAGTTTCTATATAAGAGCAAAGCAAAACAGAGGTTAATTATCTTGCCACAGGGGACCCTTGAGTTAGAAAATAGCTGTAAGCCAAATAATTAATAAGCAATAATTTAAAATAAAATACATTGATTAAAACAATAGTTTTTAATGCAGAAAGTTGCTTAAAGGAACAGAAATCAAGAAGAATGCTTGCTGCATTCTGACTATGGGAAATAGGTTTCATGTTTAATTCAGTGGAAGGGAGAAATTGAGAAGCATCACACAAGAGAAAGTACGAAGCTGAAATGTTTTCTTCGCTTAGGCTAAGTTTCCATTACAATCAACTAGACTTATTTTCCTTGTGGCAATATAGGAGTGTGCTTTTCAGAACATTTAACTGCACATTAAAATATATCTGCACATATGAAAGCATTTGAAAAACAGCAGCCTGATTTTTATTGGTATAGTTCATTCATTACAGGGGAGAGGGGAGCATTTCTGCAGAAGCAAAGCGTGCTCAGCATATTCTGCCTTTAGTGACATTTTCATAGGCTGTAATTTGAAAATGATAACGCAGATGCCCAGTATAAACTATTAAAATAATAAAACATTCATTTATGACCTGACATAAATGTGAACTCAGACATATCAACAGGTTTGATCTGTATGAGTTCAACATATAAGCCCATTGCTCAGACTTATGAATCCTAAGCCTATTCTGTTGTATATGTACCTGTTGTATTCATTACTTTGAGCTGAGTACATATTGATTATGTAAAGAAACGCAGAGATTGTAAAATATGATATTTACTTAAGCAGTTTGCACACTCATATGTGCAATACAAATTATACATTTCAGTAACTGAGAGAACTGTTTGGCACAGAAGATGAAGTATTACACTGGAAGTTATTTTTGAATATCTGAGAATCCACCATTTACCAATTTGTTTTTCTTTCACAGATTATCATGTTAAACCAGAACTACATATTATCAGGGTTTTCAACTGTATCAAGGCTTCTTTGAAGACATTTATTCAAATGTAGTTATCTATGGAGAGGATATATCAGATACATGTTAAAATAATGATAATAAAATTTTAATTTTAATTTTTTTTTAAGTGGCATTAATAGCATTATTTCTCCCTAAGATTTTCATCACCACTGTTTTATTAGCTTTGAGAAATAGTGTTGGATACCATTTGAAATACCGCTTTCATGCACACATTTCCTTACAAAGTCTTTATTTTTTGTTCTAAGCCTCCAACATCTTTGCTCAGGAGCCCACTACAAGTTTAAGGGGCTGTGAGCACTTGCTGTGCTAATATTTGAATTAACACACTACCGAAGAAAATAAGGAAGTCACATACTCAGCAATATCCTTCCTCATGAAGCCAAGAACACCTGATGTAATGCAACTTTAGCTTTATATATATAAGTAGAACTTGAGAGACAGTCATATCAACAACCTTGATATGCACCTGGTAATCATCCTCAAAGGAAATTCATTTCAATTAAATCAAAGAACATATAGTCATTTCCTGGCCTGAATGTCCCTGATGGAAATGAATGAGAATAGCAAGGTTGCACCTGCTGGTATGAATTGAGTGGGAAGGATATATTGATCAGGACTTGTTTACAAAGAACTCAGGGCATGTGTGTCTATGGAAACAGATCCTATGCTTGCAATCTCTATCTTCCATTTTTGCAAGGTATTCTGGAGAAGCAGTTCCTTTGCACACATCCTAAACAGGATACGGAAGCTGAACTCAAGGCAGCAGCACATTCTTATGCTACCAATAGAAGAGAATGTATTTACCTCAGGGTTGAAGTGTGGAGTCCTTAGTGCTCTCTAAGCTTGGTTGTTTGCTTGCAAACACTTCACTACCCAACTGGGTAACATCTTTGGTGCTGGAAGGGAGCAGGGTTTGCTTTCTGTTTATATACAATAGCTTGCCCTGTCAGTATTGATAGGAATGGACCAACGATTCCTACTCACAGTCACCCATGCCCTAGTCACTTCCTGTCTTGATTATTGCAACGCGCTCTACATGGGGCTGCCCTTGAAGAACATTGGTGCAAAATGCAGCGGCCCGCATGGTTTTGTTCAGACCCCGGTGTGCACCTGTGCCACCTCTCCTGCAGGAGCTGCATTGGTTGCTGATTTGCTTCTGGGTGCAATTCAAAGTGCTGGTTGTCACCTTTAAAGCCCTTCATGGCTTGGGACCGGGTTATCTGAGGGAACGTCTCTTGCCAGTCACATCTACCTGACCCATTAGAGCGGGGAGGCAGGGAATGTTGCAGGTCCCATCCCTGAGGGAGATACACCTGGTGGGACCCAGAAGAAGGGCCTTCTCTGTGGTGGCTCCCTCCCTCTGAAATATTATTCCCCCAGAGATTAGAATGGCCCCTACTCTAGCACTCTTCCAAAAGGCACTGATGACCTGGTTCTGCCAGTGGGCCTGGGCAACCCAGAGCAGGATGGAGGCCATCAAATGGCTAGTGTGATCTGCTATTGTCGGGGCAGGGGATGGGAGTTGGGGGGTGATTCCCCTACCCAGATTTTGTTCTATTGTACTTTATTAATTTTTATCGTTGTTTTTTTTTAAAATATGGTTTTACACTGTGTAAACCACCTCGAGTCGCCATGGGTGAATAGGCGTCAATATTAAATAAATAAATAAGTAAGTAAGTAAGTAAGTAAGTAAGTAAGTAAGTAAGTAAGTAAATAAATAAATAAATAAATGTGGTTTCTCCTTAGTAATTCCTTTTTTTAGATTAGAGTGTCTTTTTTACTTTTTGACTATTTGTCAGATTTGGTAGTTCTGTGATTAGGACATTGGTACAACTTGATTGTATCAGTGGTGGTATTCAAATAAAGTTGCCACCAGTTTGGTGGGCGTGGCTTGGTGGGCGCGCTTTGCACAAATGCACACACTTTGCGTGCCAAACACACACTTTGCGCAGGCGCAGAGGTTTTCTAACTTGCCTCCTGCAAGCCTGCACGATGGTGGTTGCTGCAGCAGCTGCTGCGCAGTGCTATTTTGCGCCACGCAAAGCAGCTGCACTTTGAATTCTGGCCATAAAAGTGAGCCCGGGCAGGCGGGTGGGCCAACCACAGAGCAGCGAAGAGAACTGGTTCGGTCTCCACTGCTCATCGCCGCTACCGGCTCTCCAGAACCGGGCAGAAACGGTCGAATACCACCACTGGATTGTATGGTGTTCACCCTGGTGTTAATTCCTGCTGGGTAATAATTTCTAATGAGGAGTTATTCTGGTCTATTTGCTTCCATTTGCATTTTTTAAATTGACTCTTTTGAATGATGTGCAAATATTACATGTCTACTGATTAACACCATCCCCAACACGCTCAGCAATCCTGACAGGAGAAGCTACTGTATATAAACAGAGAGCAAACCCTTCTAGCACTGAAGATGTTACCTAGTCAGGTAACAAAACATCTGCAAGCAATAGCAAAGCGGAGAACGCACCAAAGGCTCCACACCCATATGCTCTCCCCCCCCATGTATTCATTTCCATCCTGTTTAAATGCGTGCATTCTGCTAATGACATCTATGAAGACTGAGCTGATCTTCAGGTGCTTTCCAGAAATAGAAAGATAGTGACTCATAGCAATTAAAATATGCTTAATGTAATAAAGGATTTTCATGAACAATACTCTTGCCACAAACTTAGGCACCTACCCCCCTCACCACATACATACTGTAATATTTTATTCATTTATTTATTTGATTTATATTGCCGTGTATTTGTCCAGGGCGACTCAAGGCAGCTTACACAATGTAAAAATCATATTTAAAACAAAAAACAGAAACAAAAACAATAAAAACTAACAAAAAGAATCAAATAAATTAGTAATATGCAGGTGCAGAGATGAATTCCCTTCTAAAATGTTATCTTTGGACTTTCTGTATCATCAAAATTGTTTGGTCAATAGATGCCAAATAAAGACAATTTTTATTCTGAAAGATTTCCCTCTTAATAAACATAAATTGTTTCTGTCATTAATTTAGATTTATAATTCCCATCAAAGCTGAAAAAAACCTCCATTCTCCCTTAAAATCTTTGTTCCAGATGTAGCATAAGCAGGGTTTTATTAAATATGAGGGCTGTGCAGTGCTTCAAATTCTGTCTTCAAAAAGCTGCTTTGGACCATACGCATCACATAAGCTGTGCCATTTCTGCTCCCTTGAAATCCCAGGAAATGATATAGCTGCTTTTAAATGCTGTAGAAGTCCTTTGTACTTTCAAGCACGTTTGGGAGATCAAAACCAAAGTCCAGCACAATCTTATGGAATTAAATAACTCACATCCTATACTGGAGCCTGAGATCCTAAGACAAGAGGAAAAGTAAAGGCTGCAATGAAAGTGCTGTGGATAGAAGATGCAGACTGTGGGCCAGTATCAAACACATCTACAGTTTCCACCACAAAGTCTTCTGGCTTACTTGTTTGCATTGTTCCTTCTGTAACTTCCATAAGCAACTATGGCACAACCATGGAGTTTTGAGCCAAATTGCATCTAGGCAGTGCCACAATAATATTTTTCTCAGCTGCCACCTGGTTTTCTGAGTTACTTGAATTCCGCAAGTACGACAGGAATGTCCCAGACTTGTCTCCCTTTGTGTCTGCCTGGTGTCAGTGGGTCAGTGCCAGCACACCCTAACTGATGAGTTCTAGGATGCTGTGAGCAGATCAATTTTACGACTTAAGAATAGCACACCCAAGTCTTTAAACTTAAACTCCATTAAACTCAGTACCCGTTTCACAAATATAATGGGGATATATCATGGGTTCTGGTGTACTATGAACATAAGGTAACTCAATGAAACACTGTCAAAATGTTATTTGTTTCATTACAGGAAATAATACATGTTTTGCTGTTTAAATGTCAACTGTCTAATTAGTTGTCCGCCTTATACACTATAGCTAATACTCCACTAATGAGAATTGCACAGGATTATTTTAATTCTCAAACAATGTCTCAGATACGTTTCTTAGAATAATAGAAATGCTACAGCATGATGAGGGCAATTAAAAAGCTACTGCTTTTCTTCTAACAATTTCATGAAAATGTGTTTAATGCTTTTGGACATATCCAACAGTGATTGTAAGGCATTTTTTCTCCTTAATAAAAAATATCATTATTCATAGCTTGACTCTTTAGGATTGACTCATGCCAAATTTTATAAGGGATTCATCAATGCATGCAAAGCTTCCGATTAAGGCATAAGGTCACATCTGACCTTAACAACAGTGACCAGGACAAACCAAGCACTTTTGCTGGCTCCATTCTTCTTTATTAATCCTTTCCTTTTTCTATTCATGAAGAAGATCTGTCCCTTTAGCAGCTGGAAACATCATTATAAGATGGCTAGAACTAGTTTCAGAACTCATGCTGGTACATATTCTGAAAATTATAAAGTCAAGTGATTGTCTGCTTTTTAAATGCATCATTAAATCTGCATTGAAACCCTTCCCTTCAAAGTGCTGTTGCCTAAATGTGTAGCGTAATGCTGGCTTGCTTCCTACTACATTTCTATCACGATTTGTGAAGGTTCAATTAGAAAGTAGTTAAATTGAACTGTTGAGTCGTTCTGATGTGCTGAATTGAATACGTTCACATCCATTAAGTGATGAGATGAACTTTTGTGCAAGCATGAACAGACTTTTAAAGAAATCAATAATTTGAATAGATCTAGAAATTCAGATTATGGGCCATTCATATGTCCTAATTTTAATGCCTCTGCCCTTAGTATTGCAGATTCTAGGCTGTTGAATCAGATTTTGCTCCAGGAAGGAAATATAATGAGGCAATTAGAATCAGACAACAGCACTGGTAAATTTTACTGGAGGAAGTGCATTTAGAGAAAGGAAAGTGGAATAAAGAAGGGGGCATGCCTATTTTCATACCCAGCCCTGCAATTGCTAGTTATTAAGTTGCACAAGGTTATACCTTGCAAGGAAACTTAGTTCTCAATCTCCTTCTCCTTCTTCTTCTTCATGATCCTGGCCTACAGCCACTCATATTTTGCAGTCTTATGTCACTCACTTTATATCAGTCTTATATTCCATGGCAGAATAATACATCAGTAGTACAATGTCTACTTTTATATAAGGTATCTTAGAGACAGACACCTTTTAGGGATCAAGAGCCTATCTGACATTATGAAAGCATATAGCAGACATTCATAAACTGGCGTCCAAAATTTGGGGAGGTGTCCAAACAAAACTTGTGTCTTTTTCCTTCCATGCAGAAATCTAAGAAAAAGACAGAACAGCTGTCCAGTGTCTTCAGATTGTTTGCATCATTGACATTCTTCCAGCCACAAAGAGCCGCAACCTTTCTAAAACTTGTGGTATAAAAGCAACAGCAGTCTCTGGTAATTCTGTTGAGTAGGTGCTCTAATGAAAACTCCTTAGCAGGGATCACTAGATAGGGACAGAACTAGGATATTGTTGCCTATGACTATCAGGCCTGGATTACGTACTGTTGCCCTTTCATTAGCTCCATAGTTGACACAGACTATAAGTTATTTTCTACCATTTAATGATGTTTGTTTAGAAAGCCAGGTGTCCTCAGCCTCCTTAGTTACCATTTAGTGGCAGAATCCCTCTTTTGTATTCTTCACTATATCACCTAACAGGTTTAGTGGGGTCCCTGAGTAACTTAGCCTTCCCAAGCTCCATGATTTCCAGAATTCCTCAGTCCATCATGTTCAGCCATTTCCCCATGCTGGCTGGGACATTCTGGGAGCTGAAGTCCACAAATTTTAAAGTTCCAAGTTTAGAGACCTCTGATCTAGAGGATGTCTAATTATACCCAGAAAAGACTTTTGCTGCTACTAAATTGCTTAGGGTACTTGGAATGGGGAAAAAATTGTTTAGAACACTGAAATTGGTTTGCTGTTTGCTCAGTAGAACTTTTAAATTAACGGCGTGATTGATTAATCACATTATACAATAGATCAGTTGAGTAAACTACTTACATTCCAGTCAATGGTAGCAAAAAAGGGATGGCGTTTAATTTCTTCAACTCCATCAAGGCCAGCCCCTGCCAAGGTAATGAAAAGACAGAGGGTGTTAGACCACAAGGTTTCTTCCCAGTTTGTTTTTTATAGCTCCCCATCACGAAAAGTAGGATGGCAGAAACAAGAGCAGAGGCTTTGGGAATGTTGAAATTATTGAATTATTATTAATTGTTGCTGAAATTATTACAGTTAATTTCCTTCAAGTAGTAAAGCAAAATATTATAATCATTGGATTACTGACTGACTACTTACGATGTGAGAATATATTAATATGTTGATATAGACTAAAATGATAACACATAAATTAAGGGTGGGACTAGTTCTATTGAGAGCCTAGTTCAAATCCACACATCAAGTTACAAAGCTTAGTGGATAAAAAGTTTAAACCATCTCATAGCACATTCTGCATTTACAGTAAATGGATAAAATGGAGTGGGACTAGCTCACCAATGTACAAAGCCTTGCCCTTTTCAAAGCACAAACAGCTCATTTGATTAATACATAAACAAATACATATTTAATCCTTATTTTAATATTCAAGCTATTAAAATATTTAAGAGCACATTTAATTTTAGACTCTCCAAAAGCCAAATTAAAATACTCCATAATTTTAAATGTTTAAGTGCTGTTTAACAGAACTGCATCTGCATTGTGATTACTTGTTTTGCAGTTTATAGAAAATTTAAGACATTTCCTTCAGTACAGTACAGGAAATTTGCACAATTTGCACATTTGCACAATGTACATTAGAACTCCCATAATGGTCAGATTGGGCATTTCTGCCTTTTCTGAGTAGAAGAGAAATTTGAAGAACTTCAATCTTTTCCAATCTATTTATGCCTCTCTTCTTCACTTCAGCTTGTTTGATTCCTTTGATTCAGCATTTTTTAAAAAACATTTTAGATTTTACAAATTGAAATTAAGCTTTGGGAAATAAGCTCCTTTTAGAATAAGTCTGACAAACTTTGTCTATAAAAGCTCTTATCTGGTACCCATGAAGTCTTCTGTGCCCCGCAATAAGTTCTTTCCAAAGCAACAGTTTGTCTGTCCCTCCTGATTTTATAATAAATGTGAACAATATAAAGCAGGTGTACTGCAAATCAAAGTACTAGCATCCATTTTTATTCTTATTTTCAAGAATACCTCTAGGCTTCAAATGGGTCCTACAAACTTTCTTAGAATATACTAAGGAACAGTCACTGTCAAATACTGACTAGGAAAAGGGTTGCTTGGTCAGAAAACAGGCAAAGGTATTTGAGAACATCCTGAATGGAAATGAGGTGAGATATTACAGAGAGTTGTAGGTGGCATTCTGCTAAACTTTTTTATGCTATCCATGCTATCTATTTTGTGAATGTAGAACAACCCAACAGCTATTTTGCAAGATTACCCTCAATATGTTTGCAAATTTCCAAGAGTCCCTATAGAGTAGACCAAAAGGCTGGGGACCCTGGCCATCCAAGTTCATAGGAGACAAGAGAGAATGAATTGTTTCTTGAATCACAGCTTTCAATCTTGTCACCAATGCAAAAGGATCATACATTTCAAGATTTTTTTTTTCCATATGTACCTCTTTGTGTTTTAATTATTCCACCAGTACCTCAGGGAAAAATACAAAAATAATGTCTTTTTTTAAAAAAAAATGATATAGCCTATTAGTAGCTAGACAAGTACTCAAGACTGCTGGAGGAATTGTAAGGTTGACTCAGCCTTCCATCCGTCCAAGGTCAGTAAAATGACGACCCAGATTGTTGGGAGCAATATGGTGACTCTGTAAACTGCTTAGAGAGGGCTGTAAAGCATTGTGAAGTGGTATATAAGTCTAAATGTTATTGCTATTGATATCTCATTGAGTGGAAGCAATTAGTCAAAGGATGGGTTAATTGCTCTTGGACTTTTTCAGTTCTCAGTCTTTTTTCAATCTTGGTTTCAGAAAGCATGTGCTTCCCTTAATTTCTCACAGCAATTAAGAGACACGCAGTTTATAAATAATGTCAGAAATGCAAACTAATGTATCTAAAATACATTACAGCTATATATTTTCCACCTAAATATGCATCTTTCTTCTCTTTTGTACTACTATTTCTAGCAAAAACTTTCAGAGTTATGCAGCAACAAAGGGAAAGAAAATTTAAGGCAGTTTCCCTCCCTCCTCTTTCATGTATTATTTCATGGAAGATGTATAGCTCAGCCAGATGGTCATGAAATGAGCTGCCAAGAGTCCTGATAACAACTCCCCATCCAAACGCTAGCGCTGGGAGCAGCAGATCAAATGTTACCATTTTGTGGGTTACTATCACACTTCTTTAAGAGGTATTTTGAATTCATACGGAAAGCCACTAATATAAGCTTTGAAATGTTTCCATTTCTTTGCAGTTAATCTATTGTGTGTTATTTCAATGGGAAGATCAGGGTGGTGGTGGGGGGGTATGTCCAATGCAGCAATATGTTTATTTCCATTTCAAATTTATGAAAATGAAATTGCAAACAATACAATAGTATTGTTATTTCAAACATCCAAAATGCAGCATACAGCTTGCCCATCCAAAAATCCATTTTTCTCACTCTTGTATCTCTTCTCCAAATAAGCTTTTGAGTCAAACATTATATGGTATCTATTTTATTGAAAGAAATGTAATGTGATCTACAACTTTCATTCACTCCTTGTTCAGTGAAGGATAATCTGTTCAGAACCTTAATAGAAGTTGGTTAATAACAAACCCCTTTTAATGCTGTTTCTGAATGAACTAGAAATCTAAGCAAACAAATAAATAAACATTGCAGACACCTATCCACAAAATCACCAGGAATTGAATGGGACTAAAAGAGGACGATACCTTTATTTTTTATGATAAAACCACCAGAATTGCTTGGCTTAATTATTCTTACTATTCTATGAGTGGCCAGTAATTATTAGAAAAAGTTTGAAAAAGAAGTTGTGCTCTTATCTAATGTCACAACCAAGAATAGATTTCATAGGAAGCAAAAAATTAGGCTATGAAAATTCACTTCCTTTGGGCATAATTAGGTAGATAACAATGTACCACTTGCACTGAAGAATCCCCACCCATTCAGGCCAAAACCAAACTTCATTTATTCTACAGTAGAGCAGACACCAAAACTAAAAGAACACATTACATTTTACATCTTTTCCTACAATGGAAAAAAATGTGAGAACACAAATCTAGTTCATTTGTGTAGTCCTGCTTCTCTGTGCCTCTAGCATTAGGTACTGACAGGTATTCTGTATCTGTCAGTGGATGATCTGTTGTGCTTCCATTCACGTGTAGTATCTTTTCCAACAGTCCCAAATACATCATTAATTAAAGTGAAATTACCTTGTAGCTCTCCATCATACACTGTTTAGCTGCGTCATGTATATGAGACTAATTAACTAAAGAGAAAAAACAACTGGAGAAATTTGCCACTGTATTATGCAGTAATAAAATAAATTCCCATACCTAATCTGTTAGATGGATTCCTCTTGAAAAGAGCTCGCAGCAAACTCTGAGCTTCTATGCTCAAAAACTGTGGCATTCCTAGCTTGGCTCTGAAAAAATAGGATATTTTCATACAGGAATAAAAAGCACTGTTTTTTTTAAAAAAATCTACACATCAGCAAAGTCTCAATTGAACATTTAAACTTTCTACAGACCAGGTTTTGGGATAATTTTAATTCAAATCTTTGTGCAACTTACTTAGAGAATTTGTCATTCCTTACAATTGTGGCTAAGTCATATACATACGAAGTCATAATTCTTTCTATTTGAAAGAGTTAGCAAATAGACTGTTCTCTCAGTCTTGTTTCTGTTAAATTCTCTTCTGATCCTTTGTTCTTTCAGCCATGCTATTTAGAATTTGGCAAATAAAACAAACCAAATAAAAATCCTATAAGAACATTCACCTGCATTTTTGTGCATGCTTTTTTTTAAAATGTACATTCTATGTATGCATTTCTTCTATGGTGCATATTTTTAGTTTTCATTTGCAACACTCAATCAATTGCAAAATTCTGAACAATGAAGATGTTGTTGTACGGATAGGAAGTTTACATAGCTCATTTGGCCCAGTTCATACTAAGTTTGAAATGTTTGTGTTTATGGGTGAGCTTGTGTTTCCCTTCCTAAAAGGCATAATGCTGGTGTCAGCCTCAAGATATCTTCCATAATATGTATATTCTGCATCCTAACTATTGCTTCTCTGCTGCTATGCCAATCTATTTCTTTCGGCTGTCATTAGCAACGGAGGGAGGGGGGAACTTGGAGGGGAAGAAAGCTGGAGGTGTTTTGCATTTCTTTGCTGTGGTTAGCAAGGGGAGGGGGATTCCTTTCTTTAACTTTCCATTTCTTGGCTAGCTTCTATCCCCTTTGCGCAACTGCCAACTTTTATCAAAATATGTCAAGATCAACTGACAGAAGCCTCATCACCACCTGGAGATGGCCACATGTTCTTATTCAGAACTTTTGATTGGAAGAGTCATCTGGACTTTGGGGGGGTGGGAGCATTTCCATTCCTTTGTATATGTGATCTGCCCGCCAATTTCTCAGATTCGGAATTAAATCTGTAGCTTTCACTTTATTTTCCAGTAAAAGGATAACTTTGCTCTACCCATGGAGTCTGAGTATTTCTTTCTTGGGATTTGAAGGGAGCACAGACTGACAGCTGGATTCAACCAGCACCCTGAATAGGGCACTCCTGCGTCTCATCTACTTGCAAGATGTTGGGTAGTCAAAGCAATATACAACTTGGAACAATCAGGTCTTTATTACATTGCAAAACAGTTTTTGATCCTTTTACAATAGGATTGAAGGGCACTGTAACAAGTCTTCTCTGCAGGCTGAAGAGTAAGCAAAGAGAGATTACTGGAACAGATTAACAGATTAACTTTGTTTAATGAGGCATGTGCTTAAGTAACTGCACCGGGAAAGGGATTGTGAGTGGGGATGGAAGAAACTGGAACTGGTTGTTTCCTAATTTAGGTAACAATCCTATATCTTTCCTTTCTTTCCAAATGTAAGCACGGTAATCTAATAATTCTGCTAGATCACATTTCTTATCTATTTCTGCCAACATTAAGACTTCATACAGCTAGTCAATGAGCTCCTCACTAATATTTTGAACATCCAGCTCATAATGCAATATATTGTGCCTTAGATTTAGGCAGCAGTGCTAAGTTCCCTGGTAGAACAATGGATAGTATATTGGGCTCTGAGAACATCCCAGAAGATTTCCATAATTTAAATAAGTTTCCATGCTGCAAATTGGAATTAAAAGTGGATTAAATTTTTGAATAAATTGCTGGAGTTTTCAGCTCCTTGATTAAAAGTAGTCCCTGAGCTACTAGCTACTGTGTTTTAGATATATTTGGAATGTCATTTCTTAAATTTTCTACAAGGTAATTAATATAACCCAAAAGTTTATTTTGACTTAAAGAACATAAGGTATAGCTATAAATAGATATACAAGTTGGGAATTTGCTACTCACTTGAGAATGAGTGCCATTGTTTCCTTTCGGTCTTTCCCCTGAAATGGTAGTGACCCTGTCAACATTTCAAACTGTAAAGAAGGAATAGAAATTCTAAGAAGCATGAATGTAAATATAAACATAGCATATAGTCTACTGTATTTATCTTAACAATGCAGAATGTTCATGCTCCATAAAAATTAGTACCCCCATTAAGCCCATATGTGGAACATACATGAAGTTAAGAAAGACCTCTAAGTTGTGGGCCATTATTTAAAAGAGCATAATAACAGAATAATCAAGTCTTAAGGGACCTTGAAAGTCTTCTAATTTAGCCTTCTGCTTAGCAGGAGATCCTGTACCATTCTGGATAAATGGTTGTCCAATCTCTTAAAAATTAGCAAGCCATTCCACAGATTAATTTTCTCACTCTCAGGTAATTTCTTCTTAATTCTAAGTTGGACTTCTGTTTGTTAAGCTTCCATCCATGACTTCTTGTCTTGCCCTCAAGATGCTTTGGAGAATAGGTTGACCCCCCTCCTACTTTGTGACAGCCCCTCAAATATCGGAAAACTGATATCATGTCACTCCTAGTCCTTCTCTTTGTTAGACTAAACATTCACAATTCTCAAAATGATTCATCGTATGATTGAGCCTCCAGTCCCCTAATCATCTTTGTTCTCTTCTCTGCACTTTTTCTAGAGTCTCAACAACAATAGATTCATAATAGATTCACTGGACTTTGGGTGTGAATAGTAAAATTGTTCTAATCTTATGATGATCTAATAATAAAAGTGTTTAATAATAAAAGCATTCAATGAACACATAATTGGGTGCTGTATTATACAGTCCTGTGGAAATGTACAAAAGTTACTCCAAAAGGCATTGTGCTAAAGTTCCCTGTATCTCATGACTTCCAGACAGCCAGTTGCAAAAGATCAGTAATGAACCCGGAGATGAGGCCCACACCTGCTGTATCATCAATGTGTTTTTTTTAATGATATAAAGTGCAAGACTTTCAACTGGTGACATGGAAATATTCCCTCTTTCACAAAAGAATATATATCCTTCAAAGCCACAAAGAATGTTGAGTATCTAAAACAGTGAAAGTAACTACCTAGAAGTGGTAGAACAATGGTTCCCAATTGGACCCCACCAAGTATGTTCAACTACAACTTCCATCAGCCCCATTAATGCTGCCTGTTTGGAAGGAAGGTATTTGTTCATCAAACAAATGTATACCACGTTACAAAACATTTTTCCTGACAAAGTTTGTTCCTCTTTTCTTTTTGGCCCTAAGACCCCTCACCCATCTTTTAGACATTTCCCCCCTTAAAATCAGTTTAAGCATATTAATGGAATGCTAACATCTGCTCTACTTTGATTAAAACAAATTATAATTAGATACTAAATCTAATTTAAATAGCTCAGAGTACGTCTTTCAGCTCCATTGCAGTAAATGAAAGCAATAAAAAAGAAACTACAGTCCCCAAGGAACAGTAATTCTAGATTTGCACTGATAGCTAATTTAAAAAAGCAGAACCAGAATGATGGCAGGAAGAACTACACTAATTTTAAAAGCACTCTCATTTTTTCTGTTTGAACTAAAAAAAAGTCATTTATTTGATACAAGTAGCCTGAATCTACTGTTGCAACAGTTTATGCCTCAAGGGCCCATTCAGACAGAGTGAGACACTTTTATTTGTAGTGAAATTGACCAATAAAGAATTCTATTCTATTCTATTCTGTTCTGTTCTGTTCTGTTCTGTTCTGTTCTGTTCTGTTCCGTTCCGTTCTACTCTGCTCTGCTCTGCTCTATCTATATACTCACTCTCACACATACATACATACATACATACACATTGTTAGGAATAACATAGGTTACCTAACGTAGTTTGGGTAAAATAATATATATAGACTATGATAGTGAATTTAAGTGTGTGTCACTTGCAAAGATGTAATTTTGGGTGCGGCTGTAAATCGCCATAAGAGGGAGCAAGAGAACTTGATTGTTTGCTGACTTACTGGATTGCTTGCAGACGATGATGGATTGATGGTTTGATAACTGCGTGTTCTTTGCTGTTGCTGAAGGAAGAAAGGAGGTTTGACTTCTTCATATCTCTACTGCAAAGAGATATATTACTGGACTGATATTTGTAAGTTTACTGACCTCTTTTTCGACACTGGACTTTGCAACTGATTAATCCCCGGACGGACTGAACTTGTGTATGATATATGGACTGTTTTGACTATGCTAAAAATCTTACTGGAATAAACTATTTAACTAGCACAGTGTATCTGTTTTACTGAGTGTAAGCTACAAAAACGTTTATCTCACATATTTGCCTGCCTGCCTGACTGCCGTGCAGATTCTGCTAGGGTGTATATCCCTAACACACATTGTTCTTGTTTTCTTCTGTTTCTGCATTTTCTATTTTTTATTATTATACTTTTTTATTTTGGGTCTTTCCTTTTTATTTGTAATGCTCAATACAATTATTATTAAAAAAAGGAAAACCTCAACATTGTTTTGGGAATTTTTTCTTAAAAGGATATGCACCTTCCACAAAATTGTAGGATTTGTCAACAAAATCACTTAATATGGTGAAAGCCAATTGTTGGGGAGGGAAAGAAAGGCAGCAATGATAATTTTTTTTAGCAGGATGATGAAAATGACATTTCTTTCAACATACAAGATGTACCTGCCCACATACAGTAGGAGGAAATACCTGAGAAACATTTGCTAAACTGATTCTAGCTGCTTTTGCATAATATTACTGTTAGGTATAACATTGATACCAAATATGGTTTGGGTGAATAAATAT